ATAGTCTATGTAGGCATATTCAGCATAATCCATGGTTAAAATAAAAATATAATCTACTGAAAACAATAAACATGGTTAACCCTATTTAAAACTAAATACTCCATAACTTACACCTACTAGGGGGTAGGAGTACATTTTAGCACAAATTTATCATTAACTTACTAGTTTAGTACACAACTATACACTGGTGCACACCAACCTTAAATTTTCTCTGAAGAGTAATCTACAATACTCCTGGAGTAAAACACTCCTGAAGTTAGAATACTAAAATAGTGTATGTAGCAAATGAAGTCACTATTTTCCTACTACTTTAGTTATATACTATATTAGTTTGACTTTCTCCTGTTTGGTGCTCGTCACGTATATCTTCTAATAATTTAACAAGTCAAAGTCCTTTTAAAGACATATATTTCCAAATTGATTTTTAAGCTTTCAACGAAATCGTTGGTTTTAGCCAATTTGTAAGTGGGTTCGCTTAATCGGAACGGAAATAAGAAATATTCGCAAAGCATCTTAGGTCTCAGGTAAATTGGAACTCCTTGATTCGGTTGGTTTTTAATTTGCCAGACGACTGCGTAATGCGGTTACCATCTGAGTATCTGCAGGCGCTTGTTATTTCATTGGCTGTTGCTAGGTGGTTCCTGCTGTCGTCTTCTCCTAAACATCAATTTACAGCAATTTAGTTCTGGAACATGATAAGAATGTAATTTTTATCCAATTGTATAAGTTAATATAAGTTAATAAAATTATTGGTTGCAATTGGTATGAAATATCACTAGGATGAAATAGCACCTAGTAGTATTAGTATAGTCCATGGATCCAAAGGTGGAAATGAGGAAGTATTCTTTTAATAATTAACTGATGGGTAGTTCCTGCTGTCGTCTTCTCCTAAACATCAATTTACAGCAGTTTAACACAAAAATTAACTACTGAACATGATTAGAACATAATTTTTATCCAATTGTCTAAGACTTGATTTAAGTAATTAAAATGAATAGTTGCAATTGGTATGAAATATTACTAAGATGGAATAGCACCTAGTAACTTATTAGTATGGATAACTCTAAAGGTAGAAATTAGGAAGTTTTCTTTTAATATATTTACTACACTCTTTATAAAAAAAAATACTATTATGGGTGTTTAAAAAGCCACTACACTCAGTCGACTAGTTCATTATGAAAAACATTATAAATTTAGGTTTGAAAATAAGTGTTTCCATTTTAAATACCTATGAAATTCTACTCTTAATATTATTTTAATGACACTGGGGTTAAATAAATAGTCATTGCAGACGTTTTACAATTATATTGATGTAAATAGAATTATGATATTTCAAAGAAACATTCAAAACCCTAATCTTATTGTTGCTTTCTGTCCTTTTGTTAGTTATTGTATCTTTGTTCAGGTTAATAATCAATACAGTATTATATATAACACTGACTGTTTCACTTTTATATTTTAACGTATGTATACAATTGTAATGCAGTAGCAGTAGCGTTGGTCTGCCGTTATGAATACTGTGAATTCATACTAACAATGTTATGTGTTTTCATTACTAACAACTACGAATTGCATTTCTAGGGATAGCACCTCTTGATGTAAAAAAAAAACTCTTGCTATACAACTCCTCTTACCCTTCAACAGTATACTTGGCCCTTGTTGGATAATGGGATATGTTCGTTAACATTTTTACCTACGACCGTTTTTAAACTAGCCGTTTCTGTTCAGTTCTTAGAATTGTTAAGATTCACTTAACAGCATTGTTTACTTTAGCTTTGTACTTAACAAGACGAGTTAACTTAACCAATGAGGTTCAAGGATTGAGAGAAAATAAGTAAAATTGTAATGCTTCGAACTTGAAGTAATCAGCTGTTAAGATCAATTTAATTGTTAATAAGTGGTGCAATTAGTGGTTGGTACAATGATTCGTTGCATCACTGTCAATGGCAATGAGAGGTTGTAAAAGAAAACATAACCTATTTTAGAAATTATGAGTAGTGATTATTCAATATAAAAAAACCGTCGTAGGTAAAGTAGTGTACGCAAATCGCGTAAATAGTCTTAACGACTGTTTAATAGTTTTTACTCCCCAAGGATCGTACCTTAAATTTCTACTCGTGTCGTTAACACTATCTTTACGCGATCGTTGCGTAAACTAATATTAACGCACTCTTTTATTATATCCATTCTTTTAATTATACTTTGCTTAGTTAGCTCAATGCTTTCTCATGTAAACTAATTTCACCTTTTAAAACTAATACAACAATGAATGACAAAAACAGATGATTGAATTACTTTGCATCCTCGATTTCTATATAGTTTAATTTACACAATAGTTAATAAATATGCACAGGCCTATTACATGTGTATAACTCTAACCCCAAAGTAATGTCTACTCGAGTATAGCAGCCAAAGTCTTGTACCTAGTCGCCCTGGATAGCGTCCTGTGGGATGAGATGTAAGGCAACTTTCTCCCCCTAGGTACTAAATTATCCCCCCTCTCCCACTCCCTACACCTCTCGGCGGCTCCCCTTGTTTAACACGCCTACGGAACACCCTGCAAATCCCATAACCCCCATACACTAATGGTAATGGGGTTTGTATGAAGTCACTTAATGGGATTGTACTTAGTTTATTTTATGCTTATACTAGCTGTACCCGCGGGCTTTGCCCCGTTTTACTTCATAAGTGAGCTCGTTCGCATGGCTCAATCAGGTCCTGGTTGAAGATCGTTCGCTACGCTCACTCACCTTTTTTAGGTTGGAGCTCGTTCGCTGCGCTCACTTGCCTTCAGATTAGCTCGTTCGCTACGCTCAGTCACCTTTTTTTGCAAATTAGCTGTTGTCATAAATTTAAAAAAAATAATAGTGCTGCACCCAGTTGGTAATCCTTGTAACTTTAATGCTATTGTACATCATAGAATAGAACCAACTTGTTTAATTGAAACAGCTGTTAAGATTCATTAATTCCATTTAAATATGAGTACTCATAAGGTTAACATGGGAAACTCCAGAGCCACTGGGGCGGAGCCCGAGAGTCCGATCAGAATAAAAACAACTTAGTTTTCCTATTTAATGCCTAAAGAATCAGTGTACCAAATTTCAGCCTCCTAGGTAAATGGGAAGTGGGAGAATTAGTGATGAGTGAGTGAGTGAGTCAGTCAGTCAGTCAGTCAGTGAGGGCTTTGCCTTATATATAGATTTCATGATTGTTATTGGATTTGAAAAAAAGTTTTCAATTAATCAAATAGAAAAAAACATTGCAGCACTTACACAAAAAAAATTAAGCAAAAATATAAAAATAATTAAAACTACAACGTGCGTAAAAATGGTGCAAATGGTGTAAATGTGGTGCGTAAAAATTAAGCACCACAAATAATAATGTAATACAACATGCTGAATATTTATCATAGTATATGTGTGTTAATTAATAAGTGGAATGTATTGTTGATGAGAACAAAATGATAGCGGATTAAAAATAATATTACTGGTTTTTATTGGAAGAAACACGCAAAATGGAAATATTAAAAATCTTATTAATTAAACATTTAATTTTTTTTAAATAATATTAAATAGCAAATAAATCCAAAAAGAATTATTCTGGAAATGTTTTTCAGAAAAAAAACCGGATATGTTACACAATTTAAGACATTAATCTCTTATGACTATTTATAAATCTATGAAAATAATATAGCCTATAACAACCAATAACCTGTAATTTGTAGTACCATACACTCTATACACACAAAAGTTAGACTCCAAAAGTTGGAGTAAATCGAAGTTTTGCTCTCATACGTAACCCGATGCATCTATATTTCACAAGAAAATATATTTTATGATTTTTTCTATATTAAAGCTACACTACAAATATTTCTTCATGTTATGTCATATTGGAGGGGTACTACGTCGTTTTGTTTTCATTTTTAGCTTTAATAGCATGATGCAAGTGTGGTTAAAAAAGAAAACAATCACTGAGGGATGGAAATTAGAGTTTCAATGGTTGATAATTAAAATACGTGTTATTATTAAAAAGGTTTTCCTTGAATCTATAATTTCAACAGTCACTAATTATCGTAAACAATGCGATGATTTAGACATTGGACGCAAGGATTCGCCGTTGATTGCTGCTATTGTCGCTTCATTACCGAGTAATTGTTTATAGGAATCCTTGTATTTTCAATAACTTTCGTTTCTTTATAATTAATTCCATAGAGTATCGTACACGTAACTCTGTATTGTTGACGGTCAATACGTGAAGCATTGGACTTTTATGTCCATTTGATTATAACTTTGAATATTTCACTGTTTTAATTTCTTGTAAATGTTTGTACAAATCGTAATCTTCTATTAAAATACCACTTCCTATGATTTTCGGAAAATCTTATTGTAAGACGAATATTTAACAAAAAATATCTGTACGTATTGTATTTCCAAATCCAGCTAAACTCAATATGTCAAGGGCATCACGACACATACAATATTTACACGGTTTACTATTCAGTTACAACGCATAATCAATGCTTAAATCCATCATGGCCGCCGACGAGGGTGGACGAGGGTTTCCTGAAAGACATCACCATATCAATGCCCGCGGAATAATTTCACTAAGAAACATCTTCACTTATTCCCTCTTGTCCCTATTTCATATGCACCCCGTTTCTTCTGCTACGGCCGCCACCTAAATCTATTCCATGGGTGGAGGATTTTCACCCTCATTGACCAAACCGACAAAAAAACGTATGAATAGAAATGATGTTTGGACATCACATTAGTTTTTTTACCTTAATTATATGGGCAGGATTTTGAATGTTCAGTATGTCCCTGTCTGTTGGTCTGCAGTAAAGGATGGTAATGGCCAGATTTTTGATGAGGGCAAGGATTCACACAAGAGGTTTAAAAACCTAGTAAATTTCGTAGTTAAAATGGTAAATCAATTTTAACTTCCTTAAAACCTTATTCCGATACAATATTTGAGTTTTTCAAAATCTGTTTGTGTTTCAGCTGTACGGGCCGATGGATCTATCACATGGCCGCCCCCGCTAGCCGCCGCCCCCGGAGCACGGCACTCCCGCCCTCGCCGCCCCAGAGTCACGTCCCCAGGCGGAAGTACTCCCTAGACCATGGGGAGACAGCCAGCGGCAGTCAGGCAGCATGGCGACATCCAGAGATAACACCGGCTCTGGCGGGGTCGTCCACGGCCCCTGCAGAGGAGAACGCGTTCCTAGCGAACAACAACGGAGAAGAAAACCAGAATATGCCTTTGGAAACTGCAGTGCTCAAGAAACACTCGTCCGTGGAGTCGGTGGACAACTACTTTTACGATTTCTTCGACAGAAACTGCAGTCCGAGTCCGACAGTTCCAGATAACGCGGAGAGTGTGGAGAAAGGTGCTACGAATAGAGTAAGAAACCTGAACGTGCGGCCGAGAAGCTGGGTGACCACCTCGAGGAGAGTGGAAGATCCAAGGAGAACGAGAAGGAGGCAAACCGATCCTTGCGGAAGGAACTTTCTGAGCGATTACGAACGAGCGTTGAGTTCACTTCTGTATCAGCCTTACGAGTGTAGGAACTCCAACGACGACTCTGACGTCGGATTTTGGATCTCGGACACCTACAGGGAGCCGTACTCCACCAGCTCTAGCTCCACCTCGTCCAGTTCACTAGGGGAGCTGATCCGCCGGTGGACCAATAAAGACCCGAGCCGTGCCGGCAACACCGCCGAGCGAAGTGGCAACACCGCGAGCAGTGACCCCGATACAGGCGTACCAACACAAACTGGTTCCCAGCGCCAGTCCGCGACGAGACATGGACCGGAGATGTTGGTGAACGTGCAGCCCGAGCGCGTGGAGCCCGCGGGGACGGACGAGGGAAGTGCGAGTGCTAGTGTGAGTGTCAACTGCTACAGGGCAGTTCCAGCAACAGTGTCAGCAGTGCCTAACATACAGTGTAATGTGTCTAACGTGAGGGTAGTGCCGCGGACCTACACGTCCACCGAGGCGCAGACCGACGACATCCTTGTAGACGTGAGGAACAGGGATAGAGAGCAGCGACGTAGAGAGAGACGCGAACGGAGACATCAGAGGAGGCTGGCTAATCATCTACACCCTCAGATGCAGACCACTGAGGTGTGGCATACTCCCATCCCTGAACCTGTAGACCGCCTCCCTGACCTACTCAACTCACACCTTCCACCCCCGTACTCCACACTGCCCATAGGTCTGCCGCCTCCTCTACCGCCACCCCCTGTGGTCACCACTGTCGGGACTTCGCCCCAGCCTGGACTGAGATTCCCCTTCGCCATCGTGCCTGTTGGACGGAGAAGGTATGTTAAGATTACTGTTTTTATATCCATAAATAGGTAGACCTTACAAAAAAGTAAATAACATTCGACACTGACTATGATTATTATCACTAAAGATTAAGGAAAAGCTGAGTCAAGGGTTCCGGATGTTCATTAGGCCGTTATCATTTACATTACATGATGTACGTCAGATTTTCGGAAACTATTAGCATGAGTGTGACAATAAGAAGTCCCCTGTCATTGTCACACGAGCACCCACAGGCGTTTCACCTGGAAGATTGGTTTCATAGATTCAATTAATTTCCAGAGTTGTTTTGAAAGATTGTTCTCTATAATGTTAATAACGTTAATCAGTTATAATGTAAACGTGTTTTACGTGGTTGAATCAATGATCAAATCATGACCGACAATGAATTTCTCAAACGAATTTAGCCTACGTTATTTTCCTGACATTCAATACCCAAATAAGCAAAACAATGCTTAATTGAAGACAATCAACCCCAGTGACGCGCGGATATTTGAATTGCAAACTGTTTACTGCTGATGGCAGAGCAATTTTCAACCCATCATCTCCTATTAAACTCTCAGATTTTCTCGTTCGACCTGACCTCGTAACCCTCATAGGTTCTTGTAATTTAGTTTCAACATTGAACATTGACTTGTAATCATAGTCAGTTGAATGGTGTGAAAAGTGTTACCATCATGGAAAACTGCAGTTAACGTATTATGTTATTTGTAAAGCCAAATTTAAAATGTATTATTGGAGATCAACGACTATTAATATCTAGAGTAACTACATGAAGATCATAGGAAAACATGCTCTAAGATTTGTCATTTGTATTGATGAAGCTTTTAAAATGTTCCTTTGCAGTTTAGAATTATGTAGACGTCTACTAGCAGTAAGTAACAGTATTCAAAGTCCATGTTTCAGTAGATCGGAAGGGAAAGTTATTAAACTTAACCTCATAGGCCTACTGTTTCTGGAAAATCTAGGGTTTTTATATTACCTCAAACTTCCTCAATTCGCTTACCATTCTGCTTTGTTACTAGGAAACTCCAACCGTTTCCAAATGCAACGAACTTTATTAGCTCAATGAGTCACTAAGGAAATCTCAAATATTACCAGATGGCAAATTTGCTAACGATAGTAGAAACTTGTTGGCTTAGAAAGATAGCCAACGAGTCAATAACCTCGTATCTTGTTTGTTTGGTAAATATCGAAACTGTCACAGCTAACGTTCTCATCTTTATCTTCGCTAACGAAGAGTGTTTTTCCCTCACAAAGACGTGTGTTTTGTGAGGAAAAGAAGAGAAAGTTTTGCGGAACCGTGTAACCATGTTGTTCGATCGAGGTCGGGAGATCAGTCTTCATCAGTCTTTGGAGTGGTTAGTAGAATGGTTTTATATGGTCTTTAACATCGATGTTCTTATTCTAATGCTGTAGGTGATTGGGTAAAACCAAAGCCCTAAGATGTTTTCAAATTCAAATTCGAGCCGTGACTGTACATATAGGGCTAATCATTAATCATATCTGTAACATTAACCAAATGGTTAAAACCTAGAACAGAAACTATAGTGCATCGATGAATGGCGCTGCAACCTAATCCAACATCAGAGTTCTCGCACATGATCCTTTGCAGAGGCGCGTTCTTTCAAAAGGAACACTTTTACCTCACTACAATTATTAATTAAACCCTTATTGTGTTAGGTAACATATGTGGCCTTAAACCAATGTGGTAACCAATGTGAAAGTAAACCGAAGGATTTATAATTTAATCTGATGGTAAACCCGATGAGACAATAAAACAATGAGATTTAAAATCCATAAGAAAATTCCACGTAAACCCATGGGTACGAGTCCTTTAATGGAATGAGTCCATGCGACATTAAACCTCTTAATACTGTTATACTGGAATTTATATAAAACCAGTTTCAAATGTCACTCTAGAAATAATACTACGGTGGTAGTTTAGCTGACAGCAAAAAAGAGAAATTTTATATATTTTGGTCCTTCGAGCCGGATATTTGGTTGTTCACAAAAGACTGTCCCCTTTCTCGTTTAAGGATGCAAGCCGGATTTAGATAGGCCTAAATCCTATGCAAAAAAATTAAGGACACACTTAAAACTCAATAGTAAGTCTTGTCCGTTATTTATAAATACTAGGGATTTCTTAAAAACATTAAGATATATAAGTCTCCTATATTCCGAAGTGTTATTTTATTGGACGACTCTGTGGTCCCAGCTGTGTTAAAAATCTCCGTGGAGGCAAGGAGGAAACTCAGACCATTTCTATGACTCAATTTGTGTCCATAGTAATCAAAACCACACAATTATGCGATGATAGTTCTGAAGATTACTCACGTGCAGGAATTCTTCTGCAATTCTACATGAAGTATCCAGGATACGCATAGACAAGGTGAAGGGTAAAAAGGGCAAGGCTGAACAAGAAGCTGATGCTTGTGGAGGTTAGGATGAATAGGTACGTTTTTTGGGTAATTGTAATGATTACTGTACCTTGAACCCTGATCAGCACTGACTCCGACTCGACCTGACCCTAGGAAGTTCAACACACATCCTTAGCCTTCGTCCAAGGACAAAGAAACAAGTATTAGGGAAGGAAGCAATGGCATGTTTTTAAAACATTGTTTATGTACTTATGTTATTACTATAGGTCGTCCATTTTTCGACTCGTTCAAAAATATGTAATGTACAGACTTCTCTACTTTAACCCCCCCCCCGTTTTAAGCTTTTGGTAATTAGTTTATACAAGTACCATATATTCATTACAAAATTATTTATTAGCCAAGAAAAATTTGCCTTAATAACTAAATCATGTTTATGGATTGGAGTTTCTTCCATTTTTTCTGTTTATATTTAGTTGCTGTTTCTTCACCAGCATGGCAACCCATGAGACCCATGTTAATTTTATTGATTTTAAACTACAGTAGTGCATCCTACTTTTTATCTATGATATAATACGTGAAGGCGATTTCTACGAAACACTACTCCGTTAATAATGGACTGGTTTTTACAAACGATGTGTCAAAATTAAGTTTTTTTTGTAGACGACCCCTTTCACCAATTCATGTAATAAAAGTCCTCGGGCTTTGCCCCACAGGCCATCAAAATCCCAATGTATTTCTAATGAAGAAAATATTTTGTTTACTAAACAGACGAATCATTTGTATTAATTACAGCTGTTCATTGTAAACACATGATACATACAATAACGTTCGTTTTCAGAATGAGTTCGTTATCAGTTTCGATAACTGGAGTGGAGTGATTGATTACATTATCTTTGAGTTGACTCTTTTGAGTCATAAAAATTTTTACTGTTATTCTTTTTTAAATAACGCCTGTAATACTTTGCTATTGCTCAAATTCGAGCAACAGGTGCGCTAGTGTTATTCTATTTTTTGCTTTGAAATTCCATAAACCTAATAAAATATTAATTTCCAATGGTTTACTTGATGAGTGCTTTAATAAATCAATTTGTTCCATTATGAGCCCATATCCTTAAAACTTTTTTTGCTGGATTTTGGAATACTGTACATTTAACAAACAGCCGTTGCCTACATTTAATGACTTTTAAAAAGAGACATTAGTAAAATAATTCAAGTTTGACATTGGTTTAATTAATAACGCAAGGATAATTATAGTGCAGTAAAACCTAGGAGAATGAAAACCACATTAATTAATTAAATTCTTTATTTAAAAAATATTCAGAATACTTAACCATAGAAATGGAAATTTTAGTTTGAAGATTCTATTTAGCTGAACACAACGGCGAAAACCCGACTCCAATAGCATGTTTCGTTCCAAAGTTACGATTTTTAAAAGTCTAAATTAAATCAATGACATTCCATAGTAGAGATTAATTTAAATACCCAAGGAAAATATCGCGAATGAATGGCGATAAGGGACCTTTAAAACCGATAAGATAACTGACACCTCATTCATACGTTATCTCTTTAAATGTTTAAAAATCTACCTCAATTATTGTTGTTATTTTATCAATACTGTATTCGCAATGCTGTAATTTTTGACTCAGTTGTCCGTTTGAGGTCGGGTTTGCGCCATTGTATTTGACTAACAAAGACATTTAATTTGATGTGTATACCAATTCATGCTTTAAGCATAAAGATTTTCATTTGGCACCTAGCGGGTCGTTCCCCTGAGGAGGTAGCGTATCAGTGAATATTTTTTAAATACTCTTTTATGACCAGTGACTTTGTTCCAAGTTTTAGAGTTCTGTCTTTATTATATTTTTAGAAATATTTAGCTATCTTGGGATTTTAAAAGCGTTAAAGTGTTAGAAAAGTATGCATTTTCCCTTTTAGTGACTCGGTAACCGTTCTCTTTTAACAAAACTATAAAGAGGATCATAAAATCTATATATTAACTAGCTGTTTGCCCGTTCTACGTACGGGAATCTTATAGTGAGTTGAAACCTTATATTCAGAACAGGAGTTGGTTTGCATATTTAGTGTGCATTTTTCTAGATATGCTGGCAAAACTATTACTGTATAGGAATACATATAAACCTTGGCAAATACAATACTGTATCTGACAGTTTCAAAGCCAAAACGAATGCTTCGCAATTATGTCACCCGATCGTGTTAGTCCATATTTTATATTAATGATAAAAGGAATTGCTTTATAGATCTATGATGCATAGCCCTAAGCTAGGCCTGTAATTGAAAGTTACTTTTCACACTGGTTAATAGTAATTAAAATATTGTATACAAGAGGTTAAGTTACCTTGATTCTGTCCAAGTAATCCTTAAGTCGTCATTAAAATGCATGGCCAGAGATCACCTCCTAGACTCAAACCCTGTACCCGCCGCCGTGTTGTAAATTAGTTGTGTGGCCATGCATTTGATCGTTTTTTGTTTGTGTACGTGTTATGTGTTACGTGTTTTTTAAGACTCATGACGACCTCCTAGGAGCGATTTTACGTTCAGCTTGACAATGATGCCATAGTCGTCGAAACCGGTCGCACTAATGACGACTTAAGAAT